TGGTGATATGCTAGAGGACAGATGATGGTGATTTGTTAGACAGATGATGATGATTATGTATAAGACAAATGATGGTGATATGGTAGAGGACAGATGATGGTGAGATGGCAGAGGACAGATAATGGTGATATGAGAAAGGGCAGCTGATTTTGAGATGGTAGAGGGCAGATGGTGATATGAGAGAGAGCAGATGATCGCGATATGGTAGAGGTCAGATGATGATGATATGGTAGAGGGCAGATGATGGTGATATGGTAGAGGTCAGATGATGATGATGACATGGTAGGCGGTACAGGTAGAAGAGATGGCAAAGATGATGTGTGGCAGATTATAGTGAGACGGTACAGATGATAAATGACAGACAGTGGTCATATGGTAGGGAAATAAAACAGAATAACTAGTTTTGAAGCATACAACAATTACTAGCAAATATTTAAACAATACATGAAAACTAATAATCTTCAAAATCTATGTATACCTAAACAAAATAGGGTGTAGATACCTGGATAATGAACAAGCAGCTAGATAATCTGCTTTAGTCTCTGTTGATGCGTTTATACGAAGAATAGGTTGTTTCCGGAAAAGAAACACACACACACACACACACACACACACACACACACACACACACACACACACACACACACACAAAGAAAACAGTCGAATACAGCGGTTCGGTGAGACTTGAAATGAAAAAAAAGTTTCTGAAAGGTATTCAAGTCAAAAACTATTAAAATATGTCAATCACACTAAAAGACAAAATAATTTTTTAAAATACACCATACAGGAATGAAAAACGAATGAAAGAAAGCAAGAGGCACTCAACGATATAAGTGGGAGGACAGCATGGAGGGATGAACGAACTGAGGTCTCAGAGAGTGTGCTGCCACGACAAGACAAAAATGATTTGGGGATCCATTGCAGCCAACCATTTTTGGAGTACCTCTGTCTAAAAGGTGGACGGATATAGAAAACTTTCTTCCAAAGTGTACAGCAGGTTAGGACTAAGATGAAGAAAAAGAAGAAGCAGAAGCAGTCGAAGAAGAAGAAGAAGAAGAAGAAGAAGAAAAAAGAAGAAGAAGAAGAAGAAGAAGAAGAAGAAGAAGAAGAAGAAGAAGAAGAAGAAGAAGAAGAAGAAGAAGAAGAAGAAGAAGAAGAAGAAGAAGAAGAAGAAGAAGAAGAAGAAGAAGAAGAAGAAGAAGAAGAAGAAGAAGAAGAAGAAGAAGAAGAAGAAGAAGAAGAAGAAGAAGAAGAAGAAGAAGAAGAAGAAGAAGAAGAAGAAGAAGAAGAAGAAGAAGAAGAAGAAGAAGAAGAAGAAGAAGAAGAAGAAGAAGAAGAAGAAGAAGAAGAAGAAGAAGAAGAAGAAGAAGAAGAAGAAGAAGAAGAAGAAGAAGAAGAAGAAGAAGAAGAAGAAGAAGAAGAAGAAGAAGAAGAAGAAGAAGAAGAAGAAGAAGAAGAAGAAGAAGAAGAAGAAGAAGAAGAAGAAGAGAAGAAGAAGAAGAAGAAGAAGAAGAAGAAGAAGAAGAAGAAGAAGAAGAAGAAGAAGAAGAAGAAGAAGAAGAAGAAGAAGAAGAAGAAGAAGAAGAAGAAGAAGAAAGAAGAAGAAGAAAGAAGAAGAAGAAGAAAAAAGAAGAAAGAAGAAGAAGAAGAAGAAGAAGAAGAAGAAGAAGAAGAAAGAAGAAGAAGAAGAAGAAGAAGAAGAAGAAGAAGAAGAAGAAGAAGAAAAGAAGAAGAAGAAAGAAGAAGAAGAAGAAGAAGAAGAAAAAGGAGCAGAAGAAGAAGAAGAAGAAGAAGAAGAAGAAGAAGAAGAAGAAGAAGAAGAAGAAGAAGAAGAAGAAGAAGAAGAAGAAAAGAAAAAAGAAGAGGAAGAAGAAGAAGAAGAAGAAGAAGAAGAAGAAGAAGAAGAAGAAGAAGAAGAAGAAGAAAGAAGAAGAAGAAGAAGAAGAAAGAAGAAGAAGAAGAAGAAGAAGAAGAAGAAGAAGAAGAAGAAGAAGAAGAAGAAGAAGAAGAAGAAGAAGAAGAAGAAGAAGAAGAAGAAGAAGAAGAAGAAGAAGAAGAAGAAGAAGAAGAAGAAGAAGAAGAAGAAGAAGAAGAAGAAGAAGAAGAAGAAGAAGAAGAAGAAGAAGAAGAAGAAGAAGAAGAAGAAGAAGAAGCACTGTTTCAAATAAACCCAACAAACAGCCATGCACCTGTCAAAATATGAAGCTATTTGAAGTCAGAAAACATGAACTTCTGTGAAGCTGTTTGAAATTGGGGAAAACATTCATCGCGTGCCAAAACGTGGAAGAAATTTTAACCTGTTAAGTTTTAGCAAGTTCTGTTTTAATGATTATCTATGATACCTTGACTACTAGAGTTACCCTGTGATAGGTGTTTCATCAGCAATCTGAGCATGTATGAAAATGGCCAACGTGCTTTGTGATAACAAAAACGTTGACACTATGACATTTTTACAAGCAACTTATTATTATTCTTTTTTTTTTTCTTCTTTTTCTTTTTCCGCCCTCTTCTTTTTCCTTCATCGTCTTCTTTCTATTTTTATTTTCTTTTTCTTCAAATTTGTTTCTTTCTTTTTTTTTTCTTTCTTTCTTTTTTCTTTCTTTATTCCTCTTCTTACTCTTCGTCTTTTTCTTCGTCTTCGTTCTCTTCTTCTTTACTTTTTCTTCTACAGCTTCATGTATCGGTGGAGATATAAGGTTGGTCCCCCTGCGGCAAGAGAAGCTCCTCTGGCAGCCTCTACTATAGACACACTGCTCTGTTGTTGCTTCACTGATACAATTCTTCATTGTTTTTGGCGCATTTCGTACTCTACTTCCCTCTGTTTGTTGGTGTGTGGCTAGAATGGTATGGCAACGCAAGACATTCTTTCTAAGTAGACTACCCATTTATTGGTTGTTTTTGTATGTAATTTAGTAACGATTTGGATGTAAATAGCTGTAAGGGAGATAACCAATACAAAATAAATTTCTGCACGATTCTTACCAGAGAAACACATTACAGTAGTAGTTAAACACGTATCTGTGAAGCCTTATGTCGGGGCTTGGAATCCACACAACCGCAGATTATATTCTTGTATTAACTGGCCGATCATACGTCGACAGCATAAACTGGGCACCAACATTGTCTTAGCAAATAAAGGCAGTCAGAATACTGTTGAGCAAACAGTCCACCGAATGCCCAGTGGTCTAGAAACTATGAGTCTGTTACGTATACCCCATGCGCTTGTCAGGTTTCAAATGTCCCTTACTCTTGCTTCGCTTACAGTATACATCACACATGGTCAGCGTCAAAGACTAGCTAATCAAAATTAACAAAGGAATCTTTCATTTACCCCTCCACCTCCCCCTTCTAATAATAATAATAATAATAATAATAATAATAATAATAATAATAATAATAATAATAATAATAATAATAATAATAGTTCCTCCTTTATATATGTTTCTTCTTCTTCTTCTTCTTCTTCTTCTTCTTCTTCTTCTTCTTCTTCTTCTTCTTCTTCTTCTTCTTCTTCTTTTCTTCATCTTCTGCTGCTGCTGCTGCTGCTGCTGCTGCTCCTCTTCCTCGTCATGCTGTTTTCGACAAAAGAAGGGCAGTTGACATATTGTGTTGTGGATTACGATATCTGAAACTTTAGGCCCAACTTGTGCGTTACCTAAAAATCCTTAGTCGCCTTTTATGACACACTTTCCGACCATCCAGCGCCCCCCCCCCCCCCCCCACCCCTAAAAAAAATAATATTGTGGAAAGGGTGGAGGGGGAGGGAACCCGCACAGAGAGGCTAGGGAATTTTGTGCAAAGGAAAAGTGCCGGGGATGTTAACTGGTCATCGCAGCTTCACAGGCATGACCAGAGTATGTGAGGTTTAAACCCCCCCCCCCCCACCCCGTTTTGTCAGTTTTCCCTGTAAAACTACAAATTTAACAACGTTTATTTTAAACCTTTCGATGATTGCAGACTGAAAAAAAAAAGTGACTCAAAGTGACACTAATCGGATGCGAATCCAACAAAAAAGCATGTAATGCCAACAAGGGTCATGAAATCCCATACTATAACTGTGCAAGCCTTGTCTTAAAATGAGCGGGTCTGGCCGTTCACAATCGCCATCGCCATGGGCTGTGATTGCAACGCCTCCGTATCGCACAATTTAGTACGTTCGTCTGGAAGGGAACTGTGCTATTAATATCTTTCTAATTCAATGTCCTTATTTCTAACCAACAGGGTTCAACAGGGAAGTACTTGGAATGACTATTTCAGGCGAGCTAATGTATAACTGATCGAAGCAAGAATCCAACAAGCCAACAATGTTGCATACCAGCTTGACCCAATTTTAAAACACCCTGCTGTCCCAGCTGAGATAAAAAGACAAATTATAAATACAATCTTTATACCGACATTAGGTTATCAATGTCAGACTTGGACATTAACAAAAGAACACGAGAGAAGACTAACCACCTGTGAAATGAGATGTTTGAGAATGGCTGCGAATAAAACCAGAAGAGATAGTGTGAGAAACGATGTGATTACAAGAACTATTGGAACCATACCCATCGTTAAATTTATTGAGAAGCAAAGAATGAAATGGTTTGGTCACCTAATGAGAATGAAACCAACGATGCCAGCATCAAGAGCATACAACATGAAAATCGAAATACCAAGAGGCAGGGGAAGACCAAGAAGAAGATGGATTGAAGGAGTCACGGACAACTTAAGACTTCATAACATCACGGCATATGAAGCGACTGAGCGAGCCCTGGCTCGGTTGCCGATCATCTGATAGACTGCGACGCCTAGCGGCACAGGCAGATTTTGACAAAAGAAGAAGAATGTATAACTTCTTTGGGGGATGAAAAAACAATTCAAAACGTCAATTACGGACCCCATTTGAAGAGACGTGCGAAGAGAGCCGCTGTCTCTTCATAAAACTGTCCTAACTTCCTATACTTGCCAAATCTAGGAAGGTGGAGGAGAGGGAGCTAGCCACCGTGAGGTTAAACGACTCAAGGCTAGTGCTTTCACCAGGAACTGTGCAGATTATTCTCCCACATGGGATTCCAGTATTATAATCACGCAGCCAGCCACTTCTCCACTAAACAAGCATGTCAGTCATTAAAGGCAACTAAAAATATACGGTCTGGGCTGAAGAGCTCAGATATCACAAAACTGCTTTAAACCACAACAAAACATGACAACCGCCAAATTAACGATGAATACAGAAGAAAAATGGACATTTTGGGATCAGCCTTGTTAGACTGGCATACAGAATATGACCTGATCAGCAAGGGTGCAGACCACAAAGTGGAACCCCAGGGTAAAAAATAAAAAGGTAAATCAATCAAAGATTATATGTTCTCGTTCATGAAATATCAATAAAGTCTGACACAGTCTCTTAGATCTACATGAAACCAGTTAGGTAGGTAGTTGTACCCCACCAGGACATCACCCAAGCGATAAACACCCGGTGACACAAAGTGCCACGATACTGATGAGTGTCACCCGTGGAGAGATCCCCAAAACCCCTTTCAGACGTTATAAGATATCTATGGCTATGCCATATCTATGTCCATATTCAGGGCCCACGCAGCAACCAGAGTTTTGCTTTTAAAAAAAATTGCATCCCACGAGAGGAAGACTGTGAGTAGTAAAGTACGTGTAACCAGTATGCTTGCTTGCTTGTGATCTTCTTTAGGTGTCCATCAATACCAGTTCACAATCTATAATTATCTTTAAATGCTGCAGATTGTTCCATCCTGCGATTGTTTCTTGTAGATTGTCAAGACGATGAATTCTTCTGTAATTAGAAAATAACATATTTTGTGTTTTAAGATATATGTCACGTTATTTTGTTTAAATTACTGAAGAAAATAAAAATGCATTAACAAAAACAAATGCAACACTGCACACACACACACACACACACACACACACACATATATATATATATATATATATATATATATATATATATATATATATATATATATATATATATATATTAGAGCCGTTGTGGTATAGCAGCTAGAAGCTTGCCTCTGATCCGAAGATCGTTGGTTCAAATACAAACGGTGCTGAACTTTTTTCAAAAATGGCCTCGGCTCTGAGGTCGACCCAGCCTTTCATGGGTGCCCGGTAAAAGTCCTAGGAAGTAAAGGTGGTAGGTGTGAGGCTGACCATAGCATGGGCCTACTAGAGATCGGCCTGCAGAACTGAGTCCTATAACAACATGCCCAACACGCCTGTTGGTGTGAAAAAAGGGATTCTTTTACCTTATCAAAATATATATATATATATATGTGTGTGTGTGTGTGTGTGTGTGTGTGTGTGTGTATACATCTACAAAGAAACACATATATATTGCTAATTTCAAAAGTAGTACTAGTCAAGAATGTTAAAAATGGTACTTGTTGAGAATTAATAAATGATACTAGCCAAGAATGTTAAAAATGGTAGTGGTCAAGAAGGTTAATAATTGTACTAGTGAAGAATGTTAAAAACGGTACTAGTTAAGAATGTTAAAAATGACACTAGTCAGGAATGTTAAATATGGTACTAGTCAAAAATGTTAAAAATGATACTAGTCAGCAATGTTAAAAATGGTACTAGTCAAGAATTTTAAGAATGGTACTAGTCAAACTTTCAGGAAACAATAACATACAACAAAATTGTAAACTGATGAGTAAAATCTAACACAGCTGTGACAGTACCCGCCAATGTGTTCGTCGCTTCGTACACAGCCACGTCTAATGACCACGGACTCAGTCGGCTTTTATGCAACGCTATATGAGGCATCCTTTCACGATGAAGAGGCGCAGAGACATTAAACCGTGATTGAGTGAAAGGTTAAGCTCTTTCATGATAAAGGATCTTGCTGACTGTACATTCAGCAACCTCACATGTATACAAACAATTAAGACTTGACCATCTGTGATTAAAAAAAAAAATTATAGGACATGAAATAAATTTTTTTAAATACTGAAAGAATAGACAGCCTACCTTTAAAATGTCTTCTTCTTTGATGAGAACCTGGATCTTAAGATGCGTTGGCAATTCTTCGACCTGTAATACTTGATAAACAAGCGAGTTAAGGCCATCCACAGCCATTCTCTTTGTTGCAGCTTCAAGTAATTTATGCCTGGTAATGATAATGCATTTGTTCTTTAAAAATCAAAAAGCATTTCTCTTTAAGTTAAATTTTATATCAGAAGATAACCGACAAAATGTTAGTCAAGACCTCTGCCAATTGCTTTTTTCCACTGATTGTGTCTGTATTAGCTAGTCCTCGGTTTGTTCCACTGATTGTGTCTGTGTTAGCTAGTCCTCGGTTTGCATTGGAGCCCACAGGGCTACAGAAAAGGTAACTAAAGATCGCATTGAAATAAGATTTGCGGGTGGGGGAGGGGAGGGGCATGAATGAGACTAGGATAGGAGAAGCGCGTGAGTTGGTTGAAGAAGAAAAAAACACACTTACAAATACCGAAATAAATCCCCACAGAGCCTTTAGAACCACAGAAAGTATGATAAATAATCTGAAATGTACAGATAGGCACTCATTATCATTATCATCAACATTAGGTACATTGCCGACTGGCGGGGGCGATCATGCCTCTCCACAATCTGCGATCCGCAGCTGCGTGTATTAGTTCGTGTATTGACACCCCTCCATTGCATGACATAAGGCGGTCAAGAATTTTTCTCGCGCTATCTTCCTATGTCTCTCTTTCCACGATTGGCTCTCACGTATAGAAACATGTAGAAATAAGCACACTCTAGAGTCTACACATACACGCACACACGAACGCACGCCCCTAAACCCCCACCCCACCCCCACCCCCCCCCCCCCCCATACCACACACAAAGATGCATGAAGGTGAGAACTTCTGGATGGAATGACACAGATCTGGAGGACCGGTGGCGATTTGCATGCGATGACAAACGATCTCCTATACAGGCACATAGAAAGACAAAGAGAACGACTTACACTCACCTTCACACATGAACACATGCGTACACTCACACATACACACACACGCACACACACACACACACACACACACAGAGAGAGAGAGAGAGAGAGAGAGAGAGAGAGAGAGAGAGAGAGAGAGAGAGAGAGAGAGAGAGAGAGAGAGAGAAAGAGAGAGAGAGAGAAAAACCAACAAACTTTATTTTCCCTGGGTCACATATTAGACAATATGGCCCATTTTACATTCGGCCCTTGCAAACGCTCATCCTTCACACACCAACTGTATTTAGGCAGAGATGACAGCATAAATGCAGACAGGGAGAGAGTCAGGAAGACAAACGAGAGACACCCACACAGAAGCCGAGACAGCGAGATACATAAACAGACATACAGGCAATGACGTTTTGAGTCTTTACATAAAAACTTCCAAACTTACAGCAATAGTGACGTGAGGGTACTGGTGGCATTACTCACCTCATGGGGTTTACCTCATTTCCAGTGTCGTGCACATGTTTAATCATCTTATATCTAGCGATGTCTAAAGGATACCGGGTGATTTTTAAGCCAGCAGCCTTAATCCTGTGAAGTACAGTAAGTATAGTAAAGTAAAGAACCCCTTTCCAAAGCCTATGCTTTATAGACCATTTGGCACTGGTGGGTAATACAGTCAACACTACGCCGGCCGCGTTGACTTTCCAAGACTTTCCAGGACACTGAAGGCTGAGTCGATCTGGGAGCCAATGAAACTTTAAAAAAAAAAGTTCCGGCTCCATCAGGACCTGCCCCAGTGACCGTAGGGTCTACAGGCGTGCGTCTAGCAGATACACCACGGCTGCTACTTGCTCAGTAAAGTTAAGGACACTTTACACTAGTGACGCATAGGGCCTATCATGCTAGACGCCGACCACTTTGTCTTTCCAAGATATTACCTGGTACCCATTATGGTCTGGACTGACAAAGCAGACTTCATACGGTTTCGAACTGAAGACCGTCAAGCAGATAGACGAGTGTGACGATTGGTCTATTAAAAAAAAGGACTTGCTTTCTTTGCCAGGTGTGCCAAAAACTCGAAAATCCTTTTTTTTTTAAAACTCATATTGTTTACTTTGTTATGCTCGATACAAACGTTACACTAGCGTATTCTGAAACAATTACTATAGTTAGTACGTATTCTGAAACAATTACTATAGTTAGTTCGTATTCTGAAACAATTACTATAGTAAGTGCGTATTCTGAAACAATTACTATAGTTAGTGCGTATTCTGAAACAATTATTATAGTTAGTGCGTATTCTGAAACAATTACTATAGTCAGGGCGTATTCTGAAACAATTACTATAGTCAGGGCGTATTCTGAAACATTTACTATAGTCAGGGCGTATTCTGGAACAATTACTATAGATTAGTTTCAAAAGGTGTGCCCAACTCTGAAAAGCTATAACTCAGTAACAGTTCAGTGTAATGTGTTGAAATTTGACATGCAACCTGTTAATCATTATGTCCCAGTAGGATTTTTATTTGTAATGTAAACAAGCAGCCAGTTCTCATTTTGCCCTATTTGCGGTATACGGGGGAAAAAACAGACACTTTTCAAGGCAAGGAGTCAGCATGCTTACTGTTAATTGACTAAGAGCATCTTTTCAAAATATTAGATTGTACGCATTAAATAGGCGTTTCACTCCCAGGAGATCATCCCTAGCTATAGGCGCCCGTGAGTTAGATGAGCACAATTTTTCATTGTATGCAGGACAGGCTATCAAAATAATCATCATGTATTGCCTTAAAATATGATTGACTTCCATCCAATCTCTACGCCTGTGTCAGCTACTGCAAATTCAATTTATTAGAGGTACATACATTATTAATCAAATAAAGATCAAAGAAATTCGCCGCTTTAAGAAAACAGCAGCACATTTGCAAATGTAATTTATAAAATCGTAAGCACATGAACGAACTAACGAACGAGCAAGCGTTATTTTTAGACGGTTAGGAATTGACCACGCAATCATTTTTACATTCTGCTCTTCTAATCCCCTCCTTTCATACATCATTTCATTCAAACATCTGTTAACAAGTAATAGTGAACATTATCAAGAGTGGGAAACTATAAAATACAGGCTCAGTAATGTGTTCGAAATACACCCACATGTCTAACCACAGCAAGCAATTCCCCGTAATAAGTCTAGAGAAAATATATACTATTTCATGGACTATCTTAGGCAGCATGCAATAATGTGTTGATCCGTGCACGATATTTCGGGACATTTTTTAAAGTGTCCGGGCACTACTTATGAAACGCATTATACTTTTAACGTCTTGTGTCTCATGATTATCATCATCATCATCATCATCATTATCATCATCATCATCATCATCATCATCATCACAGTCCCACAACAATGTGTATCGTTTGGTCACCAGCTGCTGTTAATTGTCTTATCAGCCGATGATTAGACATTTAAAAAAAGAGTGTTTCTACCCTTTATATGATTGTAGTCTGTAGGGTTACCATCTCAAGGAACCTCTTCCAAGCCTACAAGCGTAGTGGGCATATTAGGCTAGACCTATATTATTCAGACCAGTCAAGACTCGGTGAATATTGTGGTTAACATCGCAGCTTCCAACACCACCAACCTAAAAAAAAAAAAAAATATCACTTGCTACCGAAACTGGTTACATACAATGGTCTCCCCATTTACACACCACTGCTTGTAGCTCAACTCCATTGATAAGTTTTTTCGACTAGTCTACCGTGGTCGAGGTTATGGGTGTCGCAGTCTGTTGTTCTCTGGCATTTAAGTTAATATTTCGGAAAAAGAGACTTTCTGTGACATAGGTTTTGTCACTCTCAAGGGGTGTTGTGTGATAGACACAGTATATAAATGTTTTAGATGTGTTAAAACCTCTGGCATGGTGAAATATACAACACGCGGTATAATCACGAGTGTGGAATATCGCTGTGACCTTGTGTAAAAGTCGGATCGCTCTAGTCCGACCTATCAGTAGTGGTCAGTAGGTCGTCCAATCAAAAGCGAACTAGTGTGTAGTGGTGTGTAAATGGGGAGACCAGCGTAAAATTTACCCAGAAACCTAAAGGAAAGGGTGTCATTCCGGTACACAAATATATCAAGTGGTGTGTCGCGCACAGAGTGTGTGTGTGACGGTTTCGGAAGAAAGCCCCACTGGCTAGATAAATGAACACAACTTGGCACAATCTAGTCAGTAGATAAGCTTTCTTTTTTATTGTTATTTTTTTTTTAAGTTAGGGTTTTATCGCAGACTGCAAAATCCGTCCAGGCAGCAGAGAAATGCAGGGATACCAAAGATATTTTAGAGTAAAGCTAGATGGTCAGCAGCAGATAAAAGAGTGATTAATGAGCTCACCGTTATATACTCATGGAGAGAAGATGGAAAACACATGGAAGGACAACCCGAGTTGCAAAATCACTCCTAGAATGAGAACCTATTTAAGGCAGAATGATTGCGGGACGATTTAATGTTAGCATTATTGAGAAGACATTAACAAGGAGTCACCAAACGGTCACTGAAATGGGAAATATACAGACTGAGATACTCAGGACATGCAGGAGAAACCATACGGCTAACGTTGAACAGACTGCCAAAGGTGTTGGTCTGTATTCCGTCCATGACATCGAAGTAATTTCAGAGGAGAAAACGGAGTAGAGAAAATGATTACTAGCCGTATATGACACATAACGGCACACAAGGACAATCAACAATGGAATAATAATAATAATAATAATAATAATAATAATAATAATAAAATAATAATAATAATAATAATAATAATATTAATAATAATAATAAAAATAATAATATAAAGAAGAATAATAATAACAGCATTTAAATGAACTGTCAAATGTGAAATAATATGTTTATACATCATCATTATCTTGTAGCAGGTCCATTGAAGATGCCGCCGCTCTCATCACGATATGCCTAAAAGAAACTCGGTCTCTCGCCAGCTCTCCCGCCTTGTGCACTTGAATTTTCAAAGAGTAACCTATATCCTGTTCCCAACCGCGTGTTGGTCGGCCCCTACCTCTCCTTCAGGTACCATGCCTTCTGCTACTATTTTTTTTTTCTTTCGAATCCGTCATAGCTTGAGATAAGCAAAATATTTTAGTTTCCAAGAAACAATGCTGTTTATTAGCCAATCTTCCTTGATGTTCAGATCGTTTAAAATGTCAGTATTTCTTCTCTTCTTTGTCCACGGTATTCTGAGAATCTTTCATTAGCATTTAAGCTCAAAATCTTTTATTTTATTTCTTAAGGACTGCTGATAGTCCACAACTGATATTCTTATGTTGAAATGGGGAGAAGTTAACTCTCAAAATTTTAATTACCTTGCTGGTGCTTAACCATAAACTTTTAAATGTCGTTTAATATGTGTTTATACACAAACTAAAAAAAAAAAGCATAGCTTTTAGTAGTGACTTGGGAGGGGGAGGGCAGCTTAGCTAGCATTAAAAAAATTACATTAACAAGCCGAAAAGACCCTCCCCTACCCCTCTCCCCCCTCCCCTCACACACACACACACATACACACATAGGTTTTGTCACTCTTTAAGGGTATTGTGTGTTAGACCCAGTATCTAAATGTTTTAGAAGTGTTAAAAGCTCTGACATGGTGAAATACACAACACGTGGTATCAGCGCGAATGCGGAATATCCCCCTGACCTTGTGTGAAAGTCGGATCGCTCGAGGCCGACCCATCAGTAATGAGGTGATATGTATGTTTTCCAATCAGAAGCGAGCTAGTGTGTAGCGGTGTGTAAATGGGGAAACTAGCGTAAAATTTACCCAATCTACCATTCGTTTCATTGGTCACATATTTGACCGACAAAGCTATGAGCCGCTCAACTACCCCAGCACATCCAAAGACGCTGTATCGCCCACTATAGGAAGAACTGGTCTATGAGGCTCCAGTTAGTCGAAACCTACAAATTTCCTGTTGAGGAGGCTGTAGGTCTCTTCCTGTTTTTCCTATAATGGGGCCCTAGAACCATTATGAGCATACTTGGGCTTTAACCAAAAACTTTCCGCTTGTTAGGCGGATGTTACTGCCACTACACTGTAATGTGTTGAAATTTGACATGCAACCTGTTAATCATTATGTCCCAGTAGGATTTTTATTTGTAATGTAAACAAGCAGCCAGTTCTCATTTTGCCCTATTTGCGGTATACGGGGGGAAAAACAGACACTTTTCAAGGCAATGAGTCAGCATGCTTACTGTTAATTGACTAAGAGCATCTTTTCAAAATATCAGATTGTACGCATTAAATAGGCGTTTCACTCCCAGGAGATCATCCCTAGCTATAGGCGCCCGTGAGTTAGATGAGCACAATTTTTCATTGTATGCAGGACAGGCTATCAAAATAATCATCATGTATTGCTGAAAAATATGATTGACTTCCATCCAATCTCTACGCCTGTGTCAGCTACTGCAAATTCAATTTATTTGAGGTACATACATTATTAATCAAATAAAGATCAAAGAAATTCGCCGCTTTAAGAAAACAGCAGCACATTTGCAAATGTAATTTATAAAATCGTAAGCACATAAACGAACTAACGAACGAGCAAGCGTTATTTTTAGACGGTTAGGAATTGACCACGCAATCATTTTTACATTCTGCTCTTCTAATCCCCTCCTTTCATACATCATTTCATTCAAACATCTGTTAACAAGTAATAGTGAACATTATCAAGAGTGGGAAACTATAGTATACAGGCTCAGTAATGTGTTCGAAATACACCCACATGTCTAACCACAGCAAGCAATTCCCCGTAATAAGTCTAGAGAAAATATATACTATTTCATGGACTATCTTAGGCAACATGCAATAATGTGTTGATCCGTGCACGATATTTCGGGACATTTTTTAAAGTGTCCGGGCACTACTTATGAAACGCATTATACTTTTAACGTCTTGTGTCTCATGATTATCATCATCATCATCATCATCATTATCATCATCATCATCATCATCATCACAGTCCCACAACAATGTGTATCGTTTGGTCACCAGCTGCTGTTAATTGTCTTATCAGCCGATGATTAGACATTTAAAAAAAGAGTGTTTCTACCCTTTATATGATTGTAGTCTGTAGGGTTACCATCTCAAGGAACCTCTTCCAAGCCTACAAGCGTAGTGGGCATATTAGGCTAGACCTATATTATTCAGACCAGTCAAGACTCGGTGAATATTGTGGTTAACATCACAGCTTCCAACACCACCAACCTAAAAAAAAAAAAAATATCACTTGCTACCGAAACTGGTTACATACAATGGTCTCCCCATTTACACACCACTGCTTGTAGCTCAACTCCATTGATAAGTTTTTTCGACTAGTCTACCGTGGTCGAGGTTATGGGTGTCGCAGTCTGTTGTTCTCTGGCATTTAAGTTAATATTTCGGAAAAAGAGACTTTCTGTGACATAGGTTTTGTCACTCTCAAGGGGTGTTGTGTGATAGACACAGTATATAAATGTTTTAGATGTGTTAAAACCTCTGGCATGGTGAAATATACAACACGCGGTATAATCACGAGTGTGGAATATCGCTGTGACCTTGTGTAAAAGTCGGATCGCTCTAGTCCGACCTATCAGTAGTGGTCAGTAGGTCGTCCAATCAAAAGCGAACTAGTGTGTAGCGGTGTGTAAATGGGGAGACCAGCGTAAAATTTACCCAGAAACCTAAAGGAAAGGGTGTCATTCCGGTACACAAATATATCAAGTGGTGTGTCGCGCACAGAGTGTGTGTGTGACGGTTTCGGAAGAAAGCCCCACTAGCTAGATAAATGAACACAACTTGGCACAATCTAGTCAGTAGATAAGCTTTCTTTTTTATTGTTATTTTTTTTTTTTAAATAGGGTTTTATCGCAGACTGCAAAATCCGTCCAGGCAGCAGAGAAATGCAGGGATACCAAAGATATTTTAGAGTAAAGCTAGATGGTCAGCAGCAGATAAAAGAGTGATTAATGAGCTCACCGTTATATACTCATGGAGAGAAGATGGAAAACACATGGAAGGACAACCCGAGTTGCAAAATCACTCCTAGAATGAGAACCTATTTAAGGCAGAATGATTGCGGGACGATTTAATGTTAGCATTATTGAGAAGACATTAACAAGGAGTCACCAAACGGTCACTGAAATGGGAAATATACAGACTGAGATACTCAGGACATGCAGGAGAAACCATACGGCTAACGTTGAACAGACTGCCAAAGGTGTTGGTCTGTATTCCGTCCATGACATCGAAGTAATTTCAGAGGAGAAAACGGAGTAGAGAAAATGATTACTAGCCGTATATGACACATAACGGCACACAAGGACAATCAACAATGGAATAATAATAATAATAATAATAATAATAATAATAATAATAATAATAATAATAATAATAATAATATTAATAATAATAATAAAAATAATAATAAAAAGAAGAATAATAATAACAGCATTTAAATGAACTGTCAAATGTGAAATAATATGTTTATACATCATCATTATCTTGTAGCAGGTCCATTGAAGATGCCGCCGCTCTCATCACGATATGCCTGAAAGAAACTCGGTCTCTCGCCAGCTCTCCCGCCTTGTGCACTTGAATTTTCAAGGAGTAACCTATATCCTGTTCCCAACCGCGTGTTGGTCGGCCCCTACCTCTCCTTCAGGTACCATGCCTTCTGCTACTATTTTTTTTTTCTTTCGAATCCGTGATAGCTTGAGATAAGCAAAATATTTTAGTTTCCAAGAAACAATGCTGTTTATTAGCCAATCTTCCTTGATGTTCAGATCGTTTAAAATGTCAGTATTTCTTCTCTTCTTTGTCCACGGTATTCTGAGAATCTTTCATTAGCATTTAAGCTCAAAATCTTTTATTTTATTTCTTAAGGACTGCTGATAGTCCACAACTGATATTCTTATGTTGAAATGGGGAGAAGTTAACTCTCAAAATTTTAATTACCTTGCTGGTGCTTAACCATAAACTTTTAAATGTCGTTTAATATGTGTTTATACACAAACTAAAAAAAAAAGCATAGCTTTTAGTAGTGACTTGGGAGGGGGAGGGCAGCTTAGCTAGCATTAAAAAAATTACATTAACAAGCCGAAAAGAGACCTCCCCTACCCCTTCTCCCCCCTCCCCTCACACACACACACACATACACACATAGGTTTTGTCACTCTTTAAGGGTATTGTGTGTTAGACCCAGTATCTAAATGTTTTAGAAGTGTTTAAAAGCTCTGACATGGTGAAATACACAACACGTGGTATCAGCGCGAATGCGGAATATCCCCCTGACCTTGTGTGAAAGTCGGATCGCTCGAGGCCCGACCCATCAGTAATGAGGTGATATGTATGTTTTCCAAATCAGAAGCGAGCTAGTGTGTAGCGGTGTGTAAATGGGGAAACTAGCGTAAAATTTACCCAATCTACCATTCGTTTCATTGGTCACATATTTGACCGACAAAGCTATGAGCCGCTCAACTACCCCAGCACATCCAAAGACGCTGTATCGCCCACTATAGGAAGAACTGGTCTATGAGGCTCCAGTTAGTCGAAACCTACAAATTTCCTGTTGAGGAGGCTGTAGGTCTCTTCCTGTTTTTCCTATAATGGGGCCCTAGAACCATTATGAGCATACTTGGGCTTTAACCAAAAACTTTCCGCTTGTTAGGCGGATGTTACTGCCACTACACTGTGGCATCATATGCATCAATCAGAATTAGTAACACAAGTATTTAAAAATGTCACAGAAAGACACATACATCTTCTGTCATACAGAGTAGTGTTCTTTAACTGGCCGATGGTGACCCACTGGTGGGTGGTGGAAAAGTCCAGCTCGGCCTCTGCGAATGTATGTCTAATTATGTAACTGGGTAGGGCCAGGGTTGCAGTTTGTAGTATTAACACATCAGTTATATGAATCACACGAGTAAAAATCCCATAAACGTCATTTAACGGCATTAAATATGTATACTAGGGAACTGATAGCTACGTAACCAGACGGATGCAAAGTTTAGGTTTCTGTCTTTGGTTAGTTGTGGTCTGCAAAACAATTTTCCCTGTTTTGTGTAACCATAGATGTTTATATAAGGTTTCTAGTTCTTGTGCCTTATTGATTCTTATGTGGATAGCGGCAGTTTGTGTCTCCACGTATTTACCGCTCGTTTGTGCGGTCCTGGTGGTCAGTCAGTCAGTTAATTTTTTCTGGTTCCGCAGACCACCAGTTACGAAATACTGATATAGATCACTCCGCACTCAATGTGTGCGACGCCGGTCACCCTTACTTCTGTGCACATTACCTGGTATGCAGTTGAGATGGAGTCGACAAAAAATGAATAATCGTCAAAAGAACATTAGCAACAAAGTTTTTTGTGTGTTTGTTTTTTAATTTTTAGAGAGCGGGGGTGAAAAAGACATAAATACACCCCCTACCCCTCCCACTTCCCCTCATACTACTAATAATATTAGGACGACGTTTGCTCTAAGAAAACATGCACACAATACTTCACCCTCACCTGTAAGACATATCGTCATCCTCTCCTCCCCAGCCGAAGAACATATTGGAGAAACCGTTAATGTTCTCAAACTGCTCTTTGCTAACAGCGCTGACTCCGCCATAAATGTCACTGTAAGGCAATCTGAAACAGAAGCACGATCCTCAGTGTCAGCATTTACTAGTTTTACATTCTATGTGAAGCGAATGCCCAGGAAGACCATGTTCTTTACAGTACCGCGTCTCAACTTCCAATAAAAAAAAAAAATTAAAAAAAACCCTAACTAAGTAATGGTTTGCAGGAATCCTAAATGATGTGTCAATATGCACAAATATTGCAGCCTAGCGGTAATCTACACAGTGTAGAGACGGAAATTTTGAAAGCGAATTCAGATAAAGGAGTCGGAGAAGGAAGAGAAGAAGAAGAAATTGAAGGGTGCTATGGTTTGCCCGGTACGGGACAGGAAGGATATTAAAAATGCCTAAAGCGCAGCGTTTCCTAAAACACTAACACGATGAAACGCCTGACTCTGTACTCCTTTCTAAATTGTTGAACATGGATGCTACCTGGAGCTGTAATTAATTAACATTTCACCAAGGAGACAAGAAGTTTTATAAACCAACAAGGAACAGGCGTCATTGTCATTTTACGCCCGTGGAGCTTTTGGGAAGGAGATAGAATCTAGGGCTGTACCGAATATTGGCTTCGTATTCGCTTCTGGACCGAATAGTGGACCTATTGACTATTCAGTATTCGGCCGAATAGTTGCGGTCGGCCGAATACGAATAGTAGTTACCTCACACCAGCTTCTGCATACACGGACTTAATGCTGACAACATGGAATGACTGGTTTTATTGCATCAACTAAGCTGTCAGTGACATTTTCCAAATTTAGTTACTAGTTAAAATACTAAGGATTCTTTTATTCCTAGTTATTAGTTACCACAGACTGACTGACGGATGCAAAACATAAAATGTTTCTAAATGTTTACTATTCTGTACGAATACTAACTAGACATGGAATGAATATAAATTCTGGCCACATCCAAGTCGATGATATGAAAATCAAACGAACGAAAACATGTAAGTACTTGGGCGCAAACTTCAACTGCTCCAACATGATGAGAGAAGAAAAACAATCTAGAATACAATCTAGCAATAAAGTATACTATGCCCTTCAACATCTGCTAAAATCAAAGTGTCAATCTCGCAACACCAAGATCAAAGTATATACAACATTGATAAGGTCAGTCGTTTTATATTGCTCTGAAACTTGAAGAAGAAAAAAAAAGAGATGAGGCCTTATTACAGGTTTTCGAAAACAGTCTTACAACAAATCTTAGGACCCATCAAAGATGCCAACAGCGGGGAATGGAGTGTGAGAAGCAACAACGTAACACATAATCTGTTTAAATCACCATTGATCACTGGCATCATGAGAGCTAACAGAATACAATAGTTGGGGCATTTTGAAAGAATGTCAGATGACAGAGAAGTAAAATTGTAAACACCTGAGAGAGGAATGAGCGTAGACCACGAAGCAGACCAAAAAAGAAGTTCGAGAGATAATGTCCAGCCAGACCTGCAAACAACTGGTGTCACAAATTGTGAAGATAAGGCGAGCCAGAGAGATGAATGGAGACGAGTGATATCTGCAGCAGTAAACCTCAAGGGCTCAAAATGCTAAAGAAGAAGATGACTATTCTGTGCTTATTTATGTAAAGTAAAAGTTCAGCGTACATTTGACACTATGAATTTTTTTTTAGGTATTTTTTTTATACACTGTACACTATTTGTTTTCGTATTCGTATTCGTCCGAATAGTTAGTCCCACTATTCGTATTCGGCCGAATAGGGAAAGTCACTATTCGGTACAGCCCTAATCGAAACACCTATAGATCTGTTCGGAGTGCTGTTAAGATAATCCTAATGACTAAATCAATGATCTGTATTGAGTCTCCAAAAAGAGTGTACCCCCTTCGCGACCCTTTTTACTTCTATTAAAAGTGGCTCTCACGCTAAGTTAGTCGTTCCCATGTGGGATGCAATTTTTCGTTATTTATAGCCCCACCCTGGCCTTTGCCGCGGGCCCTGAATATACATACAAGGTGTGCAGAGCAAGCTATGGGGAACCATGAAGGACCTGCTGCTGACATGCGAGTTCACAGAGGTAACCACCTGATGGTCTGATTTGAGCATACGAAGCCAAATGCAAAAGCGAAGAAGAAGAAGAGGAAGAAGAAGAAGAAGAAGAAGAAGAAGAAGAAGAAGAAGAAGAAGAAGAAGAAGAAGAAGAAGAAGAAGAAGAAGAAGAAGAAGAAGAAGAAGAAGAAGAAGAGGAAGAAACGAAGAAGAAGACAAAGAAGAAGAAGAAGAAGAAGAAGAAGAAGAAGAAGAAGAAGAAGAAGAAGAACGAACGATTTTTATTTTCAAAGGGTTACAAATTAGGCACGCAGGCCTGTCTTACATTCGGCCCTTCCAAACTTCCATCTTTCACACAGCAGTTGTATTTCATCAATGAAGCATGTTATATTCATGTAATGATATGCATATTATGGATATGAAGTCAAAAACAAAAGCATGGGTGGTAAAATATGTGCGCACGCTCACGCGCGAACACACACACCCACATACACACACAAGTCCAATCACTCACTTACACACAAACACATAGGCACTCAGTACACACATACATCCACATACACACAAACACACACACACGAACGAACGAACACACACACACACACACAGACACACACACACACATACACAGACAGACAGACAGACAGACAGACAGACAGACAGACAGACAGACAGACAGACAGACAGACAGACAGACAGACAGACAGACAGACAGACAGACAGACAGACAGACAGACAGACAGACAGACAGACAGACAGACAGACAGACAGACAGACAGACAGACAGACAGACAGACAGACAGACAGACAGACAGACAGACAGACAGACAGACAGACAGACAGACAGACAGACAGACAGACAGAAATAAATACATACATACACACACATACACACGCTCTAAAACACACACGCATACAACCCAGACACATACAGACACACACACACACATGCAGTCATGGGCACACACAAACACATACACACACAAAAGCACGGAAACAGACACACACATAGACATACGCAACACCCACACATACACAGATATACACACAGACACGCACAGTCACACATACGCACACAGACATACACGCAGACGCATAACCCGACACAAGCAGGGACACGCAGACATTATATAATAGACACACCGATAGAGACTCACACAGATACACACAAAGCCACGCACAGCCACAGGCAAACACAGATGCACATGCAGCCATACAACCTACAGACGCATAATGGCACACACACACACACACACACACACTGACTCACAGAGACATACACAAACACATACTAACACACCCACAGACGCACAAATACTCGCACAGACACACACATGCAGACGCTCACAAATATTATCAAAAAGATGAACATACAAATACACACGAAACAACATACAGAGAAACACACAGCCACAGACACACGCAGGCATAGACACACAGACACACACGCAGAAACACCTACAGACACAGCATAGATATACACAAACAGACCGACGCACACACATACAAAAACATTTAGCCAAGCCACACACACACATATCCACATACAATCATACACACAGACACACACGCAGCCACACATACAGATAGACATTTAAAAAAACACACACACAGACACACAACACAGACTGACACGCACACTGACACGCAAACAGACACACCACAGACACGCTTACAGACACACATACATATGCACATAAAAACATGCATATGGACTAGCCAACACAGAGACACAAAAACAGACTCTTTCACAGGGAAGAAGAAGAAGAAGAAGAAGAAGAAGAAGAAGAAGAAGAAGAAGAAGAAGAAGAAGAAGAAGAAGAAGAAGAAGAAGAAGAAGAAGATGAAGATGAAGAAGAAGAAGAACAAAATTAATAATAAGAAGAAAAAAATTAAGAAGAGAAGAAGAAGAATCACATCAGGAATCTAACTATAGGACTACTATGATCACAAGCAAAAGATTTTCACACTTTGGGTGTATCCAAACCCAAAAAACTTAATTGAGAATTTTTTGGCATAGTAAAGTTTCTCAAACTATAAATGGTGGTCCAACAGACGTTGTGTGGAACTAGCTCGCTCCTACACTTTCAATCATCCCCATGTGGTATGCAATTTTTTGTTATTTGAAGCCCCTACCTAACGGCTGAGAGGGGTTTCTGTGATCTCTTCACAGGTGATCCACATCAGCATGGTGACACTTTGTGTCACCGGGTGTTTATCGCTTGTGTGATGTCCTGGTGGGGTAAAAAGTCAGTCAGTGAGTCTCGCTCTCATACCAGACGATAAGGTAATTTGTTCCGTGTAAAAGCTAAGGGAAGATAACGACGATTTTAAATAATGCTAACTTTATCTGGAATTGCATCCCCTGGATTTCTTAACGTTTTCGGGCCACAAGTGGAGAGAAACAGTAAGGACGAGAGTAAAAACGAGATGGAGGGGGGGGGGGGGGGGACAAAGATGAATAGGGAAATTAGAACTGTAGGAAAAGATACAGAAAGAAATCAAATGACAGATACATATTAAACACATAGACCTTCAGGCAAACAGAAAGACAGACCGCCTGACGGATAGGCAGATAGACAGACAGAACAAGCATTCAGGAAGGCCCACAAACAGACATACAGATAAACAGATAGATAGATCATCATATGTGCCCACGATGTTTTTCAGTCTATCCTCATATGTGCTCCTGCTGTAGTTCATGCAATCATCATATGTGCCCACAGTGTTGTTCAGTCTATCCTCAGATGTGCTCCTGCTGTAGTTCATGCAATCATCATATGCGCCCACGATGTTTTTCAGTCTATCCTCATATGTGCCCCTAAAGCATTTCATGCAATCAGCAGAAGTGCACACTATGTAGGTCATGCATTCATCATGTGTGCCCACGATGTAGTCTATGCCATAATCAGATGTGATATAATCAGATGTGCTAACGATACAGCTTATTTTATCCTCAGCTGTGCTCACGTTCTAGTTCAGTCTAACCTCAACTGTGCTCACGTTCTAGTTCAGTCTAACCTCAGCTGTGCTCACGTTCTAGTTCAGTCTAACCTGAGATGTGCTCACTATGCAGGACATTTCATGCTCAGATATGCCTACTGCCTAGCTGAAGCCATGCTCATGTATATCTGCCGTATAATTCATGTAATCTTCACCCTAAGCGCCTGCTATGGAACTCACACCATGCTCCTCTATGTCTACTGTACACTTGTTAAAGTCCTTAGATTGGCTTACTGTGTGTCTACCACCTGATGAGACTATGACGTTTTAACTGTCTTTCCTTACTATCATAGGCGTCAAAACCGTTAAGGTTTAGGCATAACCCCATCCTCCCCTCTCCCCCCACCCTTTTCCCGGAAAAAAAAGACTTGGCTTGTGAATACCTGTATCCTTCATGTCCCGAATGCAAAAATCTTTAAATCGTAGTAGTGGCTGGGGCCGCGATATACTTGCTACCAATCTATAATTTACCATAGAGGATGTGTTTACGGTACCCAGTCGAGCGTTAGTCGAAAGACAGACTGATTTTACACATTATGGATAGATCGAATAACACAGTCCATGGGAGTAGCATGTATGAAAAACACAAAAGGGTATTCTTCCATATTTGTTTCACCAAGTCACCGCAAGTTACAAGAAAATCTTTTCCGCAAAATACATCTCCCATCTTTTTCGCAGTGTATACTACCCAAGTCACCGCAAGTTACAAGAAAATATTTTCCGCAAAATACATCACCCATCTTTTTCGCTGTGTATACTACCCAAGTCACCGCAAGTTACAAGAAAATCTTTTCCGCAAAATACATCTCCTATCTTTTTCGCAGTGTTTACTACCCAAGTCACCCCAAGTTACAAAAGGATCTTTTCCTCAAAATACATATTCAAAGTAACCACAAGTTGCACGAAAACAGGCATTTGGGGTTAATACACTGCCCGCCGTGGAAGAGAACCATATCAATCGAGGGTCATGAAATTATTAAAAGCATTCACTAACTTCTAGGCCCCAGTGTCGTAAGAATTACATGTTACATGGTTTCCCTTGTAATCACTGACGAGTCAGAAGAAGACTATACCTGTATTGAAACTTGTCAACAGCAGCAGACATGTGCCGGGGCATCTCTGGACAAGAATATATGTTCCAGTCATTTTCTGGGACCAGGTCGACGTCATGGAAGATCGCGCACTGGTAGTCGTATCTTTTCATTGCTTCAACATAGCCAATGTTCATCAGCATGGCTCGATTAAACTTTCCTGGAAGTGCCTGAAATATGCAGATTTATCCTAATGTTATCATGTGGAGTAAAATCAAACGTTCGTGGATTTTCTTATTTTTTTTTTAGTGTGTGCAATAATGGCGTCTAATGCTCGGATTTGTGAAACGGTTTAACAAAACGACTTCCGATAAAATGGTACGTTAACCGGCTGACAGCTTAGCCGCCTAATAAATATTGATTTAAGAGAGGTGGTGGGGCTTAGGGAGCCTGAGCTTCATGCTTTCAGTGTCCATGCTACACGAATCTGTACACGGAAGGACCAGACAGGTCATTTAAAGAAAGCTTCCTGTGAGGCATTCGTGGCCCCATTATAAGATGGTGGAATGGACCAACCGTCTCCCTGTCAGGCATGCCAAAAAGAGTCGACTAATTAGGTGCTTTCCTTCGAAGTCGGTGTGTATCTACCCGAGATGCGAGGAACTGACAATCTGGATACAAATAATTCAGCTCATGCGTTCACGCTAAACTGACGTTCTGGCAGAAGTGGACGAACAACCTTAAAGTTTTTTTGCAGTTTACAGCCGGTTAAGGCGAAGCACAAATATCAAGAAACGCATATCTGAATCCAAAATCCGGTAGACTGAACGCGGCTCTGACATGAAAACAAGTTGTGTGCATCCTGTGCCTTTTTTTGTTTTGTTTGCTAGTGCTACACTGTTATGATAGGTGTCGCAGATAACGTGAAGCCGCGCTGGCGTACCCTCGACTGTTTAGTAGACTTTGGTGTTCTGAATGCAGTGTTAGGTTATAAGTTTTTATTCTTAACATTCATATGCTATAAACTCTAGCGGAAAGTTATGGTTGTTCGTTCACTTCTCGACTTAGGTCTTGTTCCCAAATCTGAGTTTTGCGTGCACATCCAGATTTGGTATAATTATATGCAGGCATTTGGTCCTTAGACTCCCAGACAGATGCTTTCCTACTTTGACGAAAACGTCCCTTCTTTGTGGCTTGTTACGACATGCTAGTTAGGGGGCAGTAAGAATCCCCCACCCCAATAATAGGACCCCGCAACCCATAGAAGGAAAGTTGTAAATGACCCCTTCGATCCATCTACTTCTAGGTCTTCTGCTTCTCGTACCATCAGAAATGGAAAGAGCTGAGGAAACAGTCGTAGATGAAATAGATGACCCCAAAACGCCTCATTTTACAACATAGCAGTTTCAAAGGACTGAAGTAGATTCCATCTTGATACTAAGATAAAGAATCAGGCATCAAGCCATTTCTGAAAAAAGGTGAAAAACGCGAAGGCAACTGATGAACGTGGAGCACAAAACAAATTCAACTGAAAGTCTTAAAGGAGATGCGCAGGGCATTCATACCATGCATAGAAAATGTGAAAAATTACCCCTCACCCAAGTTTCCAAAACACTTCTTCTCTCTAGCTCGCTCTCTCTCTCTCTCTCTTTCTCTCTCTCTCTCTCTCTCTCTCTCTCTCTCTCTCTCTCTCTCTCTCTCTCTCTCTCTGTGTTTGTGTGTGTGTGTGTATCTTACCCCAATTTTTCTCCAGTCTCTCCCTATCTATTCATCCATCCATCTGTCTGTCTGTCGGTCGGTCGGTCGGTCGGTCGGTCGGTCGGTCGGTCGGTCGGTCGGTCGGTCGGTCGGTCGGTCGGTCGGTCGGTCGGTCGGTCGGTCGGTCGGTCGGTCGGTCGGTCGGTCGGTCGGTCGGTCGGTCGGTCGGTCGGTCGGTCGGTCGGTCGGTCGGTCGGTCGGTCTGTCTGACTATATGCCTATCTGTCTGTTCTTTCTTTTCTTTTTTACCCAACATATATTTTCTTCTGAGTCTGTATATTGAACTGTAACTCATGATGATATCCACAGAAGAGAGCTTTCTGTACTTATAAAGACATCGGAATGTAATAAAAGCTATCATTAACAAACTTCATACACGAAACCTCTGTTCACTCAGTCACCAGACACTTCTGCAAATATATGCACAGCTGTTGAAAACGCTTATGGAATCCCAACAGAGTATTTAAAAGCACTACAATTGCAATCTCATATGTTCTATATCGCTCTTAGAATTACACGGCCTTTTCGGCGACTGTCAGGGACCTAATTTACTCTATTCATTTTATATGGCTCGTTATGTAGGCCAGCTAACAGACTTCACTACCCTGGGCACACTTAAGACACGCGCCTGCTGAGTACAAACATAATCTTTAATGTACAATGAACAAAACGACTATAGTCACCTCAACTAAGTAGGCAGTTCTTATCCGAAACCACTGGCGTTGAGCAGCTTTTACATTCACTGGTCAACCCAAGCCGGTCCGCATGGATCTACAAGAAACACGAATCCTTACTAACAGTTTATCAGGGCTAACTGAGCCGCCGTCTATTGCTACCTGCGACTCAGTTGCACACGTAATGTGAATGGCCTAAGCGTGACTGGGCAGTGTTACCGCCATTAACGATGCGTGTCACACCTTCACTAACTGCTCAAACAAATACTGCATGGAATGTCTAGTATGCAAGGAACATGAACTCTACACTATCTAGCCGAAAAATTAAAATGGAAACACAGCCTAACAAAGATGCTAAACACAAAAATCCTATTCAACTAATCGTCGCTAACCTATTGTATTTTTACCTAGTCGAAGCGCTACGTCTTGTCTCGTCCAGTCCCACTACACAACTCTTTCCTGAGCCAGCTCTTCCAAAGCTTTTTGTTGGGGCCTGCGATCACCACTCGACACGTGGTAATCCGTGTCAACTGTGTGAACGACCGTTAACTCGACCCAGTTTGTTCCGTGGTCAAGCTGCCCGTTTTCATACTGAGTTTTACTGAAGGTCAACTCGTTCATACGTGATGATTCACTATCATCACCTCCGTTCGTCACGTAGCCGAACTGGCCTCTGACAGCGACATTTAAGACTAGTAATTTAGAATATGCCAGCAGTCCCCATGTGGGATGCAATTGTTCGTTTCTTGAAGCACTACCCAGGCTTTTGCAGGGGGCCCTGAAAATAGCCGGGCAATAAATATGACATAACGGCTGAACGGGGTTTCTGCGACCTCTTCACGGGAATCCTCATCTGCATGGTCGCTCCTTGTGCCACCGTGTGTTTATCGTTTGTGTGATGTCCTTGTGGGGTACAACGAGAGAGAGAGAGAGAGAGAGAGAGAGAGAGAGAGAGAGAGAGAGAGAAAGAGAGTGAGAGAGAGGGGGAGAGAGAGGGAGAAAAATCAAGGAGTGTAAAGTTCGAAAAATACGCAGAATTTTTCAGAGCAGTCAGATTGTTCTTTGGTGCTTCAACGTTAACATTTTAAGATCTACAGCAGAGCTTTCGAAATTGTCAGATTGGTGAGACACATTTCAGAAAAATTGATTCATTGATTGATTTAATTAAAGAACCGACATCACAGCACTCGGGGCATTCCCAAAAGCGCTCCGTCCCCATCTTCAGCAGCCAGCGAAGAGTTCCGATACTAATGGTGCCAGTAGCATTCTGATTAAACGTCCTTCTTGTCTTTCCTCTGAGCCTCGAGCATCTACCAGAACCTCTCGTCACTCCCCGCTGCATCAATCTGACCAGACTGTGATGATCCATCTGCTCCTCCGAACTGTACACGCTCTCCCACAAGGCACTAACTACGTCTGCCTTATCATGTATCAGTATTCCACCAAGTTGTGCAGAGCCAGCCAATCTGTCCGTCTGTTCATTTTCCAACACACCGGCGTTTTCCCCGGTAAAAAAATCCAGACAATACTCCTCACCCGTGTCCTCCGCAGCGAAGCATTCTACTCTGCACGAAGCATTTTAGAGAACTGTGTGTGTATTTCGGGTTACGATTAATGCAGACCCATGCGGCAGCCACGCTAATGTGCAGTGATACATAGTTTAGAAAAATAATATACGATATGGCGCATTGTCAAACTCCACCCCTCCCCAGTGTTATTTTGTACTGCATTGTTTTTAGATCCCTGAGTTGCGATTTGGGAGGGGTTTAGAATATATAATCTCCGCTCCTTAACAAAGATATCTCAAAAAGCAGATAATTAGGAAAGCTTCTCTTAGCAGCCATAGATCATCTACCTCACAGACGAGGAACAATCTGCATGCAAAAAGCCTGATCTGAAAATATAAGCGAGTAAGAAAAAAGTTCTAGAAAAAGACTAAAGTCGAAAACTGGACAAACAACCAAAACTGCTCCTTGAGTGCTTAGGAGCAAGATTCAGCAATGTAGGCTCAGGATTGTCAACTTTGAATTAGCAGGTTGGACAGGTAAAAAAAAAACGGTAGTATGAAGGAACTAATACATGATAAAAGGCACGGAAAAACAAATCGAGACTCTTCTTTTAAAACGTAGCTCAGTCTAGACTCGACGTTTGAAAAAAAAAAAAAAAAGCCGAAACAATTTACGAACATCAGAACAAATACACGAAATCCATAACAAACACAAGAGTTTTAAAGATGTTGCGTCTTGTTGTTGTTGTTCTTCTTCTTCTTCTTCTTGTTTCTTCTTCTTCCGTTTCTTCTTTTTCTTCGTCTTCTTCTTCTTCTTCTTTTTTTTCCTTCTTCTTCTTCTCCTCCTCCTATTTCTTTTCCTCCTTCTTTCTTCTTTTCTTCCTCCGATGTGTTCGCCTTCAACAGAACGTTTGACTTGTGCTGTGATTTTACAGCTTGACTATCATGTTTGAGCTTTTCGGCCAAACAAATCAGATGTCAGCACATCCCCAGACATATTTTACATCTGATTCCGGAAGGATTTATTTCATATTAGGGAGGCATTTAACTGTAAATAGCATAATCTAATATATGCCATGATCTAGAAAAAAAAAAACCGTAATAAAGCATGAAATGGCGAAGAGGATAGGAAGCTAGCGGATCGTTTCCGGTATCATCTTATGGGTATTCATAATGAAGCTCTCAGACTGGTCTCCCTCCAATTTAATTGTTCTGACTACCCAGGTGAAGGCCTTATCTTGATAACTGCTCTACAATCTTGCTCTGGTGACAAAGCTGCTCCCTAGAAAATTATTTCATTCACTGTCTTGACATTCTTAGTCCTGAAGGGATCGGAAGTTGTATTTTATTCATTTTTTAAAATATTTAACTTGTTTATGTCTCTACATCTCTTTTTGTTGTCACGCGCCTTCTAACATATAAGTAATATAGCCCTTTTGGTGAACATTACCCAAACACCATTTGGTACATTTTGTGTCTGGTGTTGACATTGGTTGTTTAGTAGCTCCGCCGTCATGTCCGCTGTGTTTTCCAGACACAGTTTATGTTGTCATATTAAGTAGTTGGTTGTTTAAGACCATTCGGTTTTATTTGTGCATGTCTGGTCCATTATCTCCGTGTGCTTTCCAGTCATAGTTCATGTTGTATTTAACACTTCTAGTTATAAGCTTGAATGCACTTACCATTACCCCCCCCCCCCCCCCTCGAACCCAAGAAAAATGAGGCTCAAGAATCCTCACGTAGAGAATGTTTTAAAAGACAAACACCTCACCTGTTCAACAACATATATACCATAATCCAACTGCTGCCTCGCCAACATGGGATGGAGGTTTTGCAGAAGAATCTTCAGATGCTTATCACGATTCCTGTATGGGATGATGATAGCCACACGGTGCCTGGCCACGCAGTCTTGGGGTTTGTATCGACCACCAGGGAGAAGTCGAGGGTTTTCCTCGGCTATATCCTCCCAAGAGTATTCTTGCATATAGATGGCTAGTCGTCCGTCTGAGGATTAAAATGATGAACGTTTATTTGAAGCTCCGGCGACATGTCTAAGGGGCATTTTCCTATTTCATTTTTTAAAAATGTTTTATCCTGGATTTATGGGTAATAGAAATTGCCGTTGAAAAAAGCGAGGTGCAGCTAAAATTGCATACCATGGTGTGTATTTAGCATACATTGGTATTCCTTGTTGGTCTGAAATGAACGGACATGGGGGGGGGGGGGTGCAGATTCTGGAAAGCGGAGCAGATACCTACCACCGCGATGTGAGAACAGCACACTGAAGATGGATTGGCTATGAAAGCACTCACGGCTGGAGAATCGGCTAGAAAAAGAGAGATATTCAGGCGTGAAATGAAGAGAGTGAATGTCTGCAAAGAACATACTGACTGATTGACAGCTTGGTATCCCAGTATATTTATAGATAAATAGTACTTTATTATGATGGGGTCATTACTACACTTGCTACGTTTAATTCCCTGGACATTTCCAGACACATATTATAGACTGAATCCGGCTAAAGGCTATTTCATTCCATGTGTATGTCTGCACATGAGTATTTAGGTGCCCATCTTGGGTCTAAGTAAAAAAGTCGTTTTGCAAACTTCAGATGAGTGCTAAGGTCATGTTCTTATTGAGTTTCCTGCCCGCTACATACTTGGTTTACAAGTATCTGGGATATTGTGCTAGATTCGGATCTTTATATGCCAGTCAGTACTGAATGCGTAATTTTGTCACTACCCAACTGACTATGTTGACGTCCTTGTTTCTTCGCAAATACGCATGGTTTTTTTTATTTTTATGTTGGGCATAATTCTTTCTTTTGAATTTCTCACACTGAGGCTTTGAACTCGAAGGCACGTTGCGGTTAAGAAATATGTAGGGGTGTGTGGGGAAAATGGAGGGGAGCTCAGCCCACGTATAGTTTTCTAACGAGTGGGATCTTATGAGGCTCAAGCATTGTTAGAGTGCACAATAAAAATAATACTTATTTCCCGACTTTTTCTCTACATGTGTGTGTCTGTCAGTGGGTGGCTAGCTGGCCATGTAGGGTCTCAATAATAAAGTCGTTTTGCAAGCTTCAGATCACTTTTACGGGCCATTTATATATTGCGTTTCCTGTCTGTTACGGGCTAGGTGTACAAGCAGCTGGTGTTTGGTGCTAAATTTACTGAATGGCAAATACATAAAATAAATCAATGTGAAATGTATAAACAAATATTTCAAAAGAGAACATATATGCATGATTCGGGAAAATCGATTGGGAATTTTGAGACTGTTCTAGGGTGGTACTTCAGCTCCCAAAGAATCTCTGGGGGTAGGGAGATTAGCCCACATAAAGATGATGGGGGGGGGGGGGGAGGAGGAATCTCAATGTATCTCTGCTCCCAGCTGCCGGCACCTATGATTATTCGAATTTTTTAGTACTATGTTTAGAGAAAAGACAGTTAAATGCCCAGTCAATATAAAAGGTTGAGAAAATGTGTGCTAAATGAGTTACCACTAGCCAGCACACTACCAAGCGTCTAGCAGGTACCCTTTCGCTTCCTCTCTTAGAAACAGAACTCGACGACAATGACACCGTCATACATTTTATTCAACAGGATACATGAAACAACTGTAGAGACGTAGTTATTGATCACAGTTGACATTCGAACATAGTCCATTTGTCCTCACTAGCTCTCTCTCTCTTAATTTGTAGCGACCTTTCCTTGACCACTACAGCTCCAAGGACTACAGCATCCCACACTCGGGACGCGCCGTACAGCTGAACAGGGCGAATTCTCCCATCCACCGGACCTTGATATTAATTCAGCAGACAACACGGCTGACTGGAAACGGACTTCCCTTGCCGTACTCCAAAAGCGCACAGCTCTCGTAAGCTTGTCGAAGGGCTCCGATGACCGACAGGACTTCTACCATAAGTCCCCTCTAGCACACAGCTCTCGTCGGCGTCACTTCCCCCCCCCCCCCCTGTTCTGTTTCACTAGTGGTCCTCCTACGTTTCAGTAGGTCGCCACCCAGAACAGGTACTACTGGAGCATCCCGTCCCCTGGACTTACTTCGCCAGCGGGACCATACCTTCGACCAGTACCGCAACCTCAACACTTACTCAGACCTTAATGTCTGATAGTCGTACGGTATTCTTGTCTGTTAGACTCGAGAGAGAAAATCACGGACATTGACTTGGTCTCTCTCTCTCTCTCTCTCTCTCTCTCTCTCTCTCTCTCTCTCTCTTCGACTCCGACTGCCTCGGACTGACTACTCAGCCCCCCTCCCCCCCCCCAATTTATCCCTGTCGAACTCGATTGGGTGGATGATGTTTACACGAGAGGCACGCTCGTATGAGACAATTAGGGAATCATGATCCTGTGGGTGTTCTCGAGACTCACGATCATGTGTGCGTTCTCGAGGATCCCGTTTATGTGGGTGGCTGATGTTACCTGAGAATCACGCTGTCACGTAATTCACACTTTCTCTGCTTATCTCGTTAGCCATGCTTTCAGCTCCCACACCGTAACCCACACGTCCACTTTCTCGTGGCACTACAATTCTCACTGGTCAACATCGAGCCAATGTTGACAATTCCCCGTGAACTCACAGAAGTTTTCTCATACCACTGTCCCTTCACACAATATTACACTTTACCCAAATCAGCACTCAACAATCTGATACCATATGCATGCGGATAGAAAAGGAAAACTATGACATTACTATGCGAAGAAACTCGTCATAGAAGATAAAAGATCTTAACGTCAGAGAAAAGGCTAGTAACCCATAAGAGTCCGAAGAAGCTCAGCAAAGTGCACAGGCTCTATAAGACCGGCAATGATCCTGAAATACTTTGGGTAGATTTTTACGTCAAAATTTTCAAGGGCAGCGCCGTTAGGCTACTCTTTTTGATTTCCAACTGCCAACAGATTTTTGACGTGCTCAGCAGTGCACACAGGCGCCTAATCTGACTGCCACGTGAATTTCTAGTAATTCCCCCTGGTCTCTGGGTAGTAAGATCGGACGCCTTTGTGTTTTCCTGCGCTCATTAAAAAAAAAGATTAGCCTAACAGCGCTTCCAGGGCAAATTTATAATTTTAAAAATCTACTTAAATTATTTCAGGATCCTCGCCTGTGCTACGGAGCATTGAGAATCTTCAGCATGGGATTAGTTATGAGAATAATGGAGAACTTAAGGGTTAGTATCCTTGTGTCATGATGCTGATCCGCTGTTTAAAAAAAAAAAAAAAGATGTTAGCACAAGACCAAAAGTATGTCAAGATCCTCGCCTGTGCAAAAGTTCGTGCACTGCGCTGGGATTCTTCAGACCCAGGCTCCAGTTAGAAGTAGAACGGATCACTTATGGGTTACATCCTTGTGCACTGATGCTGATCCGTTAAACAAACATAAATACGCATAAACGAGACATAAAAGACGCCATGTGCTGGAGCGTGCACAAGCAAGCAAGTTGCAGAGTGACCCAGTCTCCCAGTGGTGATATTAAGGTCATTATGAAAAGGACTTGCAACATGATGATGATTAAAACAACGTGTCTATGTTTGTAGCCAGGGGGCTGTGAACATAGTTTCACAATCTCAACACATCCAGGTTTGAGGTTATATGTAAATGATTTTCATAGCAGATCGCTGTGTTCACCAACCGGAAGGACGTCGTGTTGTTTAGAACATCCACACCCTTGAACTCAAAAACTGCAAATTAAATAACACAATGGCCGAAAATCGTTAATGCTCATTTGCGTCGTCCATGCATTTACAGTCAAAGCAATTAACTTTTTCTTTCTTTCTTTCTTTCTTTCTTTCTTTCTTTCTTTCTTTCTTTCTTTCTTTCTTTCTTTCTTTCTTTCTTTCTTTCTTTCTTTCTTTCTTTCTTTCTTTCTTTCTTTCTTTCTTTCTTTCTTTCTTTCTTTCTTTCTTTCTTTCTTTCTTTCTTTCTTTCTTTCTTTCTTTCTTTCGTTCTTTCGTTCTTTCGTTCTGTCTGTCTGTCTGTCTGTCTGTCTGTCTGTCTGTCTGTCTGTCTGTCTGTCTACCTGCCTGTCTGCCTGCCTGCCTGTCTGCCTGCCTGCCTGCCTGCCTGCCTGCCTGCCTGTCTGTCTGTCTGTCTGTCTGTCTGTCTGTCTGTCTGTCTGTCTGTCTGTCTGTCTGTCTGTCTGTCTGTCTGTCTGTCTGTCTGTTTGTTTGTTTGTTTGTTTGTTTGTCTGTCTGTCTGTCTGTCTGTCTTTCTTTCTTTCTTTCTTTCTTTATTATTTCTTTCTTTCTTTCTTTCTTTCTTTCTTTCTTTCTTTCTTTCTTTCTTTCTTTCTTTTATTATTTCTTTCTCTTTTTTTTCCCCAATCCTGTTATTTGCTTGAATTCAATAATGTATTGCTGGTAAACATATTTTGCTGGCGCTATCCTACCTCGATTTCTTTCCTGTATCTATCATTTTTTCACAGTTTATTGTATCGAACTTGCCACTTTAAATTGCATGTGTGGACTACAAACGGTAATGATAGAACGTCATTTATAGGATATTTCTTGACACATTCTTTTGCTTTTTCCTTTCTCCTCCTCTTTTCTTTTCTTACTGTCCTCTCCTTTCTTTCGTTCTTTCGTTCTTTCTTTTTTTCTTTCTTTTTTTTCTTTCTTTTTTTATTTTTTTCTTTTTTTTTCTTTCTTTCTTTCTTTCTTTCTTTCTTTCTTTCTTTCTTTCTTTCTTTCTTTCTTTCTTTCTTTCTTTCTTTCTTTCTTTCTTTCTTTCTTTCTTTCTTTCTTTTCTTTTTTCTTTTTCTTTCTTTCTTTCTTTATTTCTTTCTTTCTTTCTTTTTTCTTTCTTTCTTTCTTTCTTTCTTTTCTTTTTCTTTCTTTCTTTCTTTTCTTTCTTTCTTTCTTTCTTTCTTTCTTCTTTCTTTTTCTTTCTTTCTTTCTTTCTTTCTTTCTTTCTTTCTTTCTTTTCTTTTCTTTTCTTTTCTTTTCTTTTCTTTTCTTTTCTTTTCTTTCTTTCTTTCTTTCTTT